ACGCCAAGTCGAGGTTGAATGATGAATTCACTGTGTATGGCAATCACATACACCATCAAGCGACCAATCCGGTCCAATCAAGAACGACCTCCATATAAATCCTCCAAATGTTAAAACTGATTAAATATTAGAGCATACAACATATAAAAAGGAACGCTGGTAGTTTCAGGAATGCTTAGGAATTTTTTTTTAAGTGTCATTTGAATATCTTTTATTAATGAAATGTTTTTTTCTTCAAATAAAAAAAAATATTGTGATTATTTCATTTTACACGGTCTTCGTGTTTTTGACAATCGATATCTTTAATTACGCATTAACAAAAATCATAAAAAGTTGATATTATTAAATCACACATTGAGACATATCTAGTAATATCTTACATGACTATGCTTTTGGTGTGTATTAATGAGAATTTTGGTTAAAGTGTTTACATTTTAACTATATGAAAATAAAAATAAGCATTACATTATGAATTTATGGTACTAAAGCAATAGTGAATAAAGTAAAACCATATAAAGTATAGATTCAATAACCTTTTTCTTCCAAAGGTTGAAAGTTAAATGGTTTGTAACAATTTAGATGTAATGAAAGGATCAAATAACAGCCATTTAGAAAAGAAGTGAAGAGTTTATTTCTGGATTCCGGGACACTACGGGCATGTTTCGATTTACTAAAAACAATTGAACTAAACTGAACTGATTGGGGCCAAACTGAACTGAACTGAATAGAGCTGAAATGAATTGTTTATGAGAGAAGGAAATTAGGAACTGAACTGAACTGAACTAAAATTAAGTTGAACAGAACAAGCCCTACCTTTCTACTGACAGGCTCTAGTCGTATCACCTAATCAAAAGTAATTCCTAAAACCACTAACTAAAATAAATAGGGAAGTAAGGTCGAATCCACAGGGAAACGATGTTCTTTCATTTCTAATAAATTATTATAATCTAAATTATCAAGTAACAAATATGATTTTATGTGAATTTATCTAAGGGAACTAATTAAACTAAGCAAATAAGACTAAGAGAATATCAATGAAATAAAATCCTAGGGCACAGGTTCACCAATAAATAATATTCCGGGATGAAAGACAACAATCAATTATCAATGCATAAATTAATCAGATTATAAAGGGCTTTCGCTACGTATTACAATCAAAGAATTCATTTAGCGATATTAAATCGCATCTCTCGAATCTTGACTTAACCATTTATAAATCAACCTGCCTATTGAAACTAAGCCTTAACATCAATTCTCATATGTCGAATCAATATTGCGTAACTCATACAATTAAACCAGCGCTAATCTAATTGCATAGCATTATATCAATCAGTAGGAAATTAATCTAAAACAATAACAATCAACATAATAGATCATTCCTTCATATTATTCATGGATTCCCAAAACCCTAGAATTAAACTATTCGCACATAATTAAATCTAAACTAATCAAAGCAATTAAATTAAGCATAATTAAAGCAATAGTATTAAATTAACAAGAAAATAAAATAACAATAAAACTAATTATGAAAAGTCGAAGAACATCTACGAACAAGAAATTAAAACTAAACAAATAATAAAGAGAAACAAAACTAAAATTAAAACTATACATAAAGGCTTATCTCCTAAACTAACCTCCCAGCCTACGTAACTCCTACCTCCTTATATAAGAAAAGTCAACCACATAATACAAGTATCCAACTCCCACTAAAACAAGGGTTACTCAATTATAATGAAAAGGCCCCAATCAGATACGGAGTGTTACTTAATGCACCTTGCAGCATAATCGCTCGATCGGGCATTTGCCGCACGATCGGGCTCGGTCAGTCTTCACGCCTGGCAGGCAGGATGAGCATTAGTAAGATTGGGCCGTTTAATGCTTTGGCCCAATCTTCTACTCTTTTGCTTGGTCTATGATTGCAACTTGGATATTTGTAACTTATTAATCGAACCCTTAATCACCGAACCAAAATTGTTTGACTAGGCCTTGGGCTTCAAATATACGGTCATAAAATACGATCAAACTCCAATATCTTTGTAGTGACTCAATAAGCTCGGAAATTGTCATAAATCTGCAAATTCCTACAAAATAATACCAACTCTACAAAAACACTAGAAAACGTATATTAGTAATAAAAATAGCTCCGTAGAGCTCAAATAAGCACAAATATGACCGCGGGGCGGGAATAAAAATATATATAATATAGACTCATCATCTACTCCATGGTAGAAATATAGAATCCTTTCCACGGATAAATTCCCCAACAAATCCAATTCTAACTAACCCGAATCCAAATAGTATGCAAAAAAAAAGTATTCGAAATTGGTTCGACCCAAACTTATTATTATGACTAATTAATTATTATCCAAGTAATCCAACTAATAATAGATATATCAAATAACCTATCACTCGACAATCAAACTGGGAGTGTAAAATTTGGTGTTTGGTTGGATTAATGTGTAATATAATCCAATCATAATTATTAACTTTTGGTTTTGAAATATTAAGTTTAATCCTATTCAAATTTGTATGAATTGTGATCAATCAAGTTTTAATTTGTTGAATACAATCCAAAATTCAAATTAAAATACACCACAATTTATTTAGGCCTAAATGCCTAATGGCTCACGAGTCATGAGTCATATGTTTGTAAATAATATGATAAAAAAAAAGAAAAAAAAATTATTTGGATCAATATAAATATGTGTTATACTTTGTATGATATAAGTTCAGAAAAATTAAATTTAGACTAGTTTTGATAAGGGTTAATAATAGTTATCTAAGTTCAATTTACCACTAAAATGCAAAGTAAGTTTTAATAAGATAAAATAAATTCAAATAAGATTAAACAAGTTTAAATGAGTAAAAATTAAGTAAATAACTCATCATAATTCATAAGCATATATTTCGAAATGTGGTATGATTATTACTCCATTGTATAGTTGAATCTAGAAGGAGAAATAACTACTTCTATTTGCTTTAGTTCTTCATATTTCTCCAGATTGGCTGGGTATCGCGTAGTTTTGAGGCTGATAAGCTTTCTAGCTCTGTTTCGTCCTTCCGGCGATGTCAATTTTCGTGTCCTCCCCCTGTTACATCTAGGTGTTTACATGGCTCGTATTCCGGTATTGCAGATTGTTTTATAGTCTTTGATGGTGCTTGGAACAGTCGTGATCAGACTGCGGAGGTAGGTTGGATTTTCAGAGAGGAGCTTTCCCCAACTGTTTTGGGTGGGTATGCCGAGCCTGTCAGACTTCTTCAGCTTTACAATCGGAATTACTAGCTTGCTTATGGGCTCTTCAGGTTGCTAGACGAAAAGGGTTTTTGAGTCTTCTACTCTATACAGAGAACACAGTTCTGGTTTCCATGTTATGTTGTTCGTGTTCGGATGATATGTCTTTTGTTTGGTTGTTGGGGGCTATTAGAGATATTCTGTTACAATTTGATTCCTATTTGATTCCTGCTGGATTAGTAAGGTTCCTTGTCTTTGGGTTGTTCCAACTCACTGGTTGGCTGTTTGTGCTCGTCAACGTCATTTTCTTTTCTGGTTGTTTTGATTATTATTTGTTTTGGTATCCTGTTTTTTTAGTTTCCTTTGTCATTTCGTGTTTTCTTGCTTTAGTTTGCTCTCATATTGTACTAACATACTTCGATAATAATCTCCATTGTCATTATTTTTTTTTTTTTTGACAATTCTAGTGTCATTATTTCAATGTTTCACACTTAAGTTTGACTACTTATTGATCTTTCTATTTTAATAGGTCTAAGGTGTAACTAGCTTAGTCTCCAAAATAAAATAAAAGTTAAAAATTAAAAGGTCTAAAGCCCCGTTTACTTCACCTTTTTTTTGTTGAAATGAAATTATTTTTTTACTGAACTTATATTATTATTACTAAACTGATATTAATTTTACTGAACTAAAATTACTTTTGCTGAACTGAAATTATTTTTACTGATTCTCTTTTATATTTCTTCTTTAAAGTTACCGATTTTTACTGAATTGAAATTATTTTTACTTAATTGAATTTTTTTTTACTGAACTGAACTTATTTTTGCTGAATTGAAATTATTTTTACTGAACTGAAATTATTTTTTTTGAATATTATTATTTTAAGGTAAAGTGAAAAGGGCCTAACTATGGTTTTTTTTTAATAATATTTATTATCAAAATTGAAATGCCATCTAAAATTTTGATTAATTAACTCATTTTAATTTTGTTTTTTAACAAATATTTTCGATCAAACTCTTTCAATTCGATTCAAATTTGATATACCAATTTTAAAATATATCAACCCAAACCAATCCTATTGAACAGATTCATACTTGATTAAAGTTATACAAATAGCAATATAGCAAACGTCCCTAAATTGAACCAAATTCAAACAATTTGTAACCAATTCAAGGTACTTCCTCCGTCCACCTTTTTTTTTTTTTTTTTTTTTTTTTTTTTTGACGCTAACTATTACAGCGTGAGCTGGTCACACCATGTGATTGTGGTTAATTATTCAAGGGAAGCTCGGTAAGGGGTTACTCGATTAGTTTGGGGTTAACCTGAATAAGTAACTCCGACTACACGATGTGGCCAACCACACATGAAAATTTGTATAACTATTAATATCTTTAAATAAAGTTATAAAGATAATAATCAACAATAAAACATACTAGTCTCCCAAAAAAAAAACATAAGAATATAAGCGTTTTTTTTTTTTTTTTTGTGTGAATATAACCCTAAATTGACGTTTAATCATATTTTTCCACTCAATTAAGGACTCACGTTCAAATATTCTTATTAGAGGTCAACAAATGGACCAATCAAAATTCCAATCTCTCAATTTTATAATAAAAACAGAAATTCAATGAATTCGCCTGCATTAACCAAACTTCGTATCAAATTATGATTTTACACGTTACCCTATAAATCATACAATTAACAATAAAATTAAAATTTTTAATAATGTTATACGAAGTATTTCTAAGTCCTTAACTCCTTATCATTCAAGTATGACCTCATAACATCCGTACATATTAAAACCAACCATACTCTATTTTTCCCAATTCCTTTTTCGCTTTCTCTCTCATAATTCTTTGATTAAAGTCATAAAATTGATTTAAATCGAAACGCTGAAACAACAATTACTGTATATATAAATTTTAAAACATCCCCCTTTAACTTTCTCCCACTTTTTCTCTCACTTCGAGATCCGCCATTAATACGGTTTCAAGCTTTTCTTTATCATTTTATGGTTTAAGCTCTTAATTCATTACTTTTCCGGTGAGTTTTCCAGTTTTTTGTAATCTAGGTATTTTTTATTTGTGTTTAATTTTTCTGGGTTTTGTTTGGTTTTCGTTTTCTGTTGAAAATCTATTGCATTATGCTCTTTGTAATTTTTTATTTTTGATGTTTTTGGTCAGTTTTTTGTATGTAACTGTAAAATTGCTTCGAATATATGTTTGCTTTTCGCTTTCGTCTGTTATTGGTGTGAATTTGTTTAATTTAATGTTATTGAAATATCGTTTCATTGAATGAAGTAGTAATCAATTTGAGTTATACTTGTATGTTTTTAGTTGATCTTTTTTAGCAATATAGTTATTGGTCAGCTGAGAATTAATTAAGTATTAATTGGGTTTATATGGAATGAGATCTTCCTTGAATATGTTTAGATTTGATGCAAAAATTTCATTGTTTTGATGTTTTTGGTGCAGATTATGATGCTATAATACTGAAGAACTTGCTAAATCAGGAGAAAAAGCTGGTTTAGATGCAAGTTTTTTATTAGAATTTGGGACAGTATTAGTGTTCAATTCAATTTTTATTGATTCTGTTTAGAATCAGTGAATTGAAGGGTTTTTGAGGGTTTTTTTTTTGTTAGATGAGAAGATTTTTAAGTTTGAAGGTCAACAATGAAAGGGTTTGAAGGAGTGTCATTGAATATGGAGAGGAGATGGGCATTTCCTCTTGTGATAACCTCAGTGCTTTGTGTATTTGTGTTAGCATCATGCTTTAACATGGGACTTCTTTCGTCTATCGGCTCTATCCCCTCCATCAATACGATTATAGCTCATTATTCTAGGTCATCGGTGAATCAAACAAATCCGTTGTTTGTCGAGTCAATTGTGTCTCAGCCTCCACCACCACCTGCCCTGCCTCCGCTCCCTCGATTTGCTTATTTGGTTTCTGGATCAAAGGGTGATTCACAGAAGCTATGGAGAACGCTGCAGGCGTTGTATCATCCAAGGAATAAGTATATTGTTCACTTGGATTTAGAGTCTTCAGTGGACGAAAGATTGAGTCTGGCTGCACGAATTGATAATGATACGCTGTTTTCCACGGTTGGGAATGTGCATATGATCACGAAAGCAAACATGGTCACTTATAGAGGCCCTACCATGGTTTCAAATACACTACATGCTTGTGCTATTCTTCTCAAGAAATATAATGACTGGGATTGGTTTATCAATCTCAGTGCTTCAGATTATCCTCTAGTCACCCAAGATGGTTAGTTGGTTTCTTAACAGATTGCAATTTATCTATGTTTGTATTCTGGTTTGTGTTTCTAAATTGATCATGTAACTCTGCACAGATCTCATATACTCATTTTCGAAATTGGATCGGAAGCTGAACTTTATTGACCATACTAGCAGACTAGGTTGGAAAGAGTAAGCTCAATTTATCTGTCTATTAATTCATTGTAAAGTGTATGTGTTATGCAGTTGTGCTGATGTATGTATTTGTCATATGTTCTGCAGGGCTGGACGGGCTATGCCTTTATACATAGATCCTGGGCTTTACTCATCAAAAAAATCAGACATATTCCGGGTTAACCCGAGAAGAAGTTTGCCTACATCATTTAAATTATTTACCGGTTAGTCTTTCTTTTCTTTGTCAATTCTAGGAATTAGGTACATTTCCAATAATATTTAGGAAATCAGTACATTTCCAATAATATTTAGGAAATCAAAGTATGCTCTGAAAACTGATTTATTATATCCTGAAATTCTTTGTTTGTGTCTGTTTATGGGGTGGCCAAAAGAATTAAGTTTAATGCTCTTGTAGCTGACAAAATTGAGATGTTAAGAGATAGGATATTTTCTAGTTACTCCATCTGATGTTGCTTGTAGTTTGGTATATTCTAAGATAATTAAGTCAATCTTAGCCGTGAAAATAGACTGATCACTATGTCACCAAAAATTAAATAAGAAGACTTATCACAACTTCACAAGTATAAGAAGTTAAGAACAATTCTATTTTGATACTCCGTAGCCCTTTATGTTTACTTTGGATAGAGAAATGGGTAAATGTGGCGGTTGCTTTCAAGAATTTCAAAAATTATTTATCAAACACATTGTCCCTCTCAAGATCATACCCCTTTAAGAGTTGGGAGCAAATTAACTGATCAATTTACTGTTTTGGCTCTCATCAGAACAAGTTTTATGCCTCCTACATTGGCTTTGGATACAATTTCTTTTCTCTGTTTCTTCTGAAGATGTATGTTGTATTAGACTATCAGTTTGTGATATCTTTTGATTTGCAGGTTCGGCATGGATGGTTCTTTCGCATGATTTTGTGGAATACCTCATTTGGGGATGGGATAACTTACCTAGAACCATGCTTATGTATTACACAAACTTTGTCTCTTCTCCAGAAGGCTACTTCCACACTGTCATCTGCAATGCACCGGAGTTTGCTAAAACTGCAGTTAACCACGACCTCCACTATATTGCCTGGGATAACCCTCCAAGACAACACCCACGGTATCTTACCTTAGCTGACACCGATAGGATGATTGGCAGCAATGCTGCATTTGCCCGGAAATTCAGGCAAGACGATCCTGCATTGGATAAAATTGACCGGGAATTACTTGGCCGTATAAATGTGAGTGTTACTCCTGGTCGCTGGTGTGGTGGTAAGCCACGTTGTAGCAAAGTTAAAAATCCTGACAAGGTAAAACCAACTCGCGGAGCTCAAAGGCTTGGTCAGCTTATACCAAGAATAGTCTCAGCAGAGGCATTCCTAACCAGGCAATGTAAATAGATTTTTCATGGAAGACTTCCTTGCTTGACTTATATCACACATCTGAAACTATGTGCAGAGAGATAGTTTTCGCATTGGGAGATCAAGCTTTGAGAGAGCATCATCAGGGAGTTCTTTACATGCTCAAATATATATCATCGGACACCGATGGAAATTTCTTTTTCTGATTTTTTGGGGGGAGAGGGTGGGGGGGGGGGGGGGGGGGGAGGTGCTCACAGAACAGTGATTTGGCCTTAGCTGGGTTAGATTTAGGACTATTATTGCTAGATTTTTGTGGATTGTTAAAACTATACTTACATTTTTTTTACTCTCTTTACATTCGTGACTCCATGAGATGTATGTTTCCTCACATTCGAAATAAGCTTAGTACATATGAGCTCCTTCAGTGTTGTTCTGAAGGTCCAAAAGTGCTATTCTTGTGCAGAAAATCACTTATCTTTTGATGTTTGACATTAATTAAGCCTCTCAGTTTATTTTCTACTGTATATTTTTTTTTAATAATTTTGTGTGCATAATATTTTGATTATATTTTGTGTCAATTAGAACTACTGAAGTATTAGGACATAGTTGCCAGTTAATTATCAACCAAGTCCATAGTGCAAGGGTATCTTTTAAGCTTTTTTGTGATCACCGACGCAATTTGGTACTGGTTGACAAATGACAATAATGATTAATGACAAATGCTAATGCATAATCATTCTGTAACAATGGGGAAATCATGCAGCCGCTTAAGGAATCTTTCTATTAAAAAATAGTTAACACATTAATAGTATTTTGAATTATTAACCCTCCTTTGAGTGAAAGATGTACCCAAAAGTAGCTTTTATAATACATAATTAACGATATTGACGTAGATATAAAATTCACTTTATCTTATTATATCTTATTCATAATAAATTGAACTTATTTGAACTAATTTTTAGCGATAATGATGTTCACATAAATTTTACTTAATCTTATCGTATGTTATTAACGATAAATTGAATTTATATGAACTAATTAGCGCTTATCTTATTTTACATGAATTTATCAATCCTTTTTTTTTTTTTATCTTATTGCAACTAATATATATATATATATATATATATATATATATATATATATATATATATATATATATATATATATATATATATATATATCAGGATTAATATTTTTAAAACTCTACAATCGGATTATGCCACGTAAGATTAGTTTTTTTAAAGCGCTACGTAGGATTATATAAAGAGGAGTTTTTTTCCGAGTTTTTAGAGCGCCACGTAGGATTTTAATTTTTAAAAAATTATTAAAACACCACGCAGGATTAATATTTTTAAAACGCTACAATCGGATTATGCCACGTAAGATTAATTTTTTTAAAGCGCTACGTAGAATTATAATAAAAAAATAAACGCCACGTAGGATTAATATTTTTAAAACGCTATTATGCCACGTAAGATCAGTTTTTTTAAAAGCACAACATAGGAATATAATAATAAATAAAAATTTATTTGAGCATCACATAGGAAAATGTTATATTTTAGCCAATGAAAAAAAAGGAATTGCAATTTATTTTAGATCTAAAATTTTATATTAATTATATAAATAAAATCAATGCGTTTACTGTGTGGCCGGCCATATCGTGTGGCGGTTGAGACACACCAAAACACTGACCGAGTAGCCTTGATCGTTCGAGTAACCCTGATCGATTAAGTAACCCTTGACCAACCGAGTAACCCTGACCAAATAATCTCGACCTTACGGTGTGACCAGTCATATATGAAATTTTGTGAAATAAAATATTATCTTTATATATTAGGAATTTTTATCTAAATATGAAAAACAAAATTAATAATTCATTTTATAGTAAAATATTCAAGTAGTAAACAAACGAATATCACAAAGTTTATCAAATAAATATAAATATAGTTAAATATTTTATTTGAAAAAATACAAACAAACCGTGCATCACACGTGCTTCATCTTGTATTTCTATAAACCGAGGAAAATAGACCTTAAACAAATGCAATGAAAAGTGTGGAAAAGCAAATAAGTACAACAAAAGAATATAAAGCGAGTATGATGATTTCAAAATTTGAACGAAGCGATATCATATTTCTATCTCCTTTATTTGAGCGTTTTTTCAAACACTTCTTAAAATATTACTTCACATAAAATACCAATATTGAATCCTCGGCACTGATCAGACAAAGATAGGATACTTATTTTAGGCTAAAATTATAAAAATTTCACCAAGTAGTTAAATCGAACATTTAAACACACATCCGTATCTAATATAGTAATATGGGTGATTTCCAGTAATATAAGTTTCAAAAAACAAGATTGATAAAAAAAAGTTAAAGTCTATCAACATATATTCTATCCAAATCCGATTCAGTAAAGTCATTTAGCTAAATTGTATTCCACACAATTTGCATAGAAGTTAGAACACTGAAAATTAGGAAAGTTAAAGTCTACTAGAGTACATACTAGTGGATGCTCATTCTCTTATGATAATTCTAGGATATTCTGGATATATTAGGGTGTTGTTAAACGTCGTTCACAAATTATGTTTATTATTTTACAAGTACATTATTGAATAAGAAGAATATAGACCTATTCTCTCTATTATGTTTATTATTTTACAAGTACATCATTGAATAAGAAGAATATAAATCTATTCTCTCTCCTATTTTTCTTCTCTTTAATTTTACAACACGTTATCAGCAACAAAGCTCTAGATAATTAATAACTCTTTTGATTCCTATACATATACATATTTACTAACTTCCCTCAATCCGCCGTCTCTCTCCAATATCACTCTCTCTCTTCCCCGCTCGATCTGGTTGGGTTTTCTATATTTTCCTCTTAATTCTCATAGAAAATCAGAGTTGGTCTATTTAATTTATTTCTCAAGTTTCTAGAATTCGTTGAGTTTTGTTATGATTTCGTTCTTAATTTTTAAATTTTTGTTGTGAATCAAAGAATCTTTTGATGAATTACCCTACATGCATGTGAATTTCACCATATATACTCCGTATACCAAGTTGTGATTTATGTGGGTGGAATATTAGTGAATTACATACATGTTTCATTTTCAATTTCAATTTTGGCGATTTTTTCCGGCAATTTTCTCTGATTTGGTAGAAGTGTGTTATTATTGGATGAAAATGATTGTTTTTTGTAGATTTGATTTGTTGATGAATTTTCTAGTTTTTAAAGTACCTGATTATTCTCATATCTATAATTTCTATGAATTCTTGCTAATTGTCATTCACCGTATATCGAATAACTGCTGAGTAAGATTTATGCTATGTATATTTTTTTTTTTTTTTAATTTAATCTAACTCTAATTTCAGTTGCTTTTTTTTTTTTTTTTTTTTTTTTTTTTTTTCAGGTTATCACTCTCTGATTTTTACTCTATACATTCCATCATCTTATCACGCAGTTCATCATATGCAAGAAAGTTATTTGGGTTCAGCGATATATTATACTTCCGTCTTGATTTTTGCTTGTCTCATCAATTGGGTGTAGTTTCAAGCATAGCAAATTATTAGATACGATAAAACTTAATCACCCCTACCTCGCTAAGGAGATGAATTTAATAGCAACTTTACTGGTATCACTATATTCTTTTCTCCATATTTTATTGAATTTATCAGATTATTGTACTTCTTGAAATAAAATAATTATAGGTTATTAGACTATTTATTTGATTGATTTAATTTATATGCTCCGTTTTTTTTTTATTGAAATGAAATACGAAGTTTATTAAATTTGGGATATGGCTATTGATTTGTTTCAGCTAAGTTGGCGTATTTGAATTTGGCTAACTATTGATTTGTTTCGACTAATTTGTCTTATTTGAATAGCTATAATTTTGGAGAATGAAATCGGTGGTTTCATCATCAATCTCTGTTGAATTATGTGATGATCATAGTATATTGATTTTATTTTTTTTAGTTTTAAATTCTTGGACATGATGATCTAATATATACAACCTGTTGCTTTCAATTGTGTGGTTTACCATCATCATAGAGTGTTCAAGCATATTAGTTATGAACTACTTTAATGGTTGTAGATTTTATTTTATTTTTTGGATCTAGCTAAATTCCTATGAAATACATAAGATGTTAACCAAATCCTTCTTGAATTAGGCACCAAAGCTTGCCCGTTAGATATGTGTTACAGGATTTAATGAAAACCCAAGTACTTTTATTCTATGATAAAGCTGAGAGTTTTTCCTTCATCACTTCTTTAGTACCCACTAGCTCATATGGAGTATTAAATTGAAGATAGCACTTTTTGTTGTGCCTTGTTCCCTTTGATGTTGAGTGAGTATGTGAATATCAGGAAGGTGTGATTCGGAGAAAATGGTTGTTAAGTCGTGTGATAAACTATGTTATAAAGTATTAGAATTGCATTTGGTTGGATTAGTTATTTCATTGGTTTTGGTTGACATAAAGAATAATCTTAGTTTTAACTCGGACAAGTTTGGTAGCTTCTTATTGTTTACTTTGTATTTGGTTTTATAAAAGGTATTGTAAACGAATTATGATTATAATAATTGTTTTTATTTCATGATTATGCCTACTGATTGCTACCAGACTTGATTAGCTTTTTGTGAATGTGATATGTTACTATTAATAATCTAAGGTTATTAATTACTCATGATAGTTTATAAATTATGAATATATTTATCTAAGCTAATTTCTAATTCCTCATTTATAATATTATAAATTTCTCAAGGTATGTTTTTTTATAGATATAGATGGCATGTGTTTGGTATATTACTATAATGGTGCGTTAAGTTCATTGCTAAAGAAATTCAAAGTAATTTTGAATTTGAGGAAAATTCATTTATTTTATTAATTAGATGGGAAAGCAGTTGATTGATGAATTAGTATTGTTTGTGATGACAATAATGTCTATTATATGAGATAAATATAATTTCTATGAAATGGTCAAGACAAGTATTGTACTACTAGTAACTAATACTCTATAATTGTATACCCCCCTCCATTTTTGGGACTAAGTTTCAAATTTTGTTTAATACTGACACGATTTCATTGTTGAAATATTGATTAATGTGCGATAGGATTCGATTATATATATGATACTCTATGCCTGCATTAAGTTGAATTATATGAATGACGATGATTAGATTGAACATGAAATACTCATATCTGAAGTTCCTTAAATTTATGAAGGGTCATAAATAATAATTGGAAAAAAATGAAGGTACCTATATGATTTAGAAATTTCTAATAGTTTATAAAGTATAAGAATGAATTTATATACAGATAATTTTGAATAGTATTCTAGATGCCAAACTTTGGGTGAGAACTGATGATACTAGATTAACTCACTTTTAGAAGTGAACAAGAATTTGTATGATTGAAAAGATAGCAAACACGTTTGCATGATGTTTTATTGATCATATATAATGGAGAAGTTCGTTAGAACTGGAAAAATGATAATATATTATCTATTTGAGTAAGAAATAGTGTTACGAGTTCAAGAATTTAAAGATGACATTTTGAGCAACTTAGTTGAAAAAAAAATGTATTCATTATGCCCATACTTTAATTTTGAGAATTTTCGATATAAAGATTCATATAATTGGGCAAAAGAAAAAAAAAACTTTGCTTTGTTTGATACATGCATTGCAAAGAATTTATGGCTTAAAAGGAGCAAGGAATTTAAAGATTGTTGGATTATTTTTATACCCCCATATGCAAGGATTAGAGGGAGATAATATTTATCCCATTATTTTTATGTAATCTTTGTACATGAATAATTAAATATGTTGATGGTCAGTTTGGTACATACACTAGCATAAATATCAATAATTTATTTAATAGAGGTGGCCACGCACATGATAATCAAATATTTAGAATGATACCATCCTGAAGATGGATATGAATAAATGTCATTAACTATATACTAGCTATAAATGTACATATTAAGTTGATGTCCTAGAAGGACAAGATCAGTTGCTATTGAAACTAGCAAACCTAAAGTGTGGTAATCCAAAGGGTTACAACGATAAGTATCCTTAGAAGAGAAAATGAGCAATAATTGACAATGACAAATTTGAGAAAGTGACACATTTTGATGGATCTCCTGAAGAGATCATTTCTAGTACATTAAAATATATTATGATTATATAAAGTACTCTAGAAGAGTATAAAGTGCTATCCAACAAGATTAGCATGTATCAAGATTACAATCAATTGAGTATTAATTAATTGTCTTGCCAATTGTAGAAAGAAACACATGAATTGGTGTACTTATATCACATCATACTCATTGCCATGCATAAAGTATTTCTAATAAGGTGATCACCAGTATCATAAAACTGACCGTAATTTAAATACTAAAGGAAAAGTGATTGGATGTGATAATTAAAAGTTAGGCCATCCGGGTTTAATAAATTCTTGTTATGGAAACCTGAAGTTTTATTTGATATGAAAGAAATAATGTGCCGATGCTCTCTCATGTTAAATATATGAAATAAATTGAATGGCAAGACATAACATTGAGATTGAGCTATATTTGGATTGTGATTTTAAATAGTTTGTGTTAAAAGAAGATTTCAAGAGTTAATAGGTTTTGATTTTTATATATACAAAAGAATAATAGGTAACCAGAAGTTCACCAAAATAACTTATATATTATTGTCAAGTATTAGATGACCAGAAGCTCACCAAATACACTATTTAAGTCTTCAAAGATCCAGGAGATCATTGTATAGTGGCTTTACATACAAGCGATTTCATTATTCTTGATTGGGGCTATTTTATGTCAGCACATAAGAAATTGAATAAGAAAATAGACAACTGTACAATTCATGACTCCCTATTAATATTGATCTCTAGAAGAGAACACAATTTCATTATTCTCTAGAAGAGAAAGAAATTTGTTGAATATGATTAATCCTGGGAGATGAAATTTGTTGCACATGAAATTTATATACTAAGTTGGTATAGAATTAGACGCCTTTATAAATAAGATATTTTACCAACTTAGGGGAAGAAGAATCAGCTAAAGTTGGAAAATTGAAAAGAATTTGATGATCCCTATAATGATAGTTTGAAAAGTTATATGCCAACTTTTGTCTATATATTATCAAGATATGTTGCACATTTATGATATGATTTGTATTCAGTTATGACTCATGTTGCATAGCGTTGAAGATACATTTTGGTCATATTATGTGTATACATTGAGATAAAATCTTGACAATTATACTTGAATCACTACGCCTGAAGTGTGGGTTGTATGATCGATTCCAAAATAAAGATATGATATGTGGCAAGATAGTGCAGTTAACACTTTTAATATTGTAATAGTATATAAATATCATAGTGTATGAAATACCCCAAAAGTGGTATAGATATCTGTATTATTACAATAGATGGCCTATGATGTAAGAAAAATTATGATGGTACCAATGAGAAATGTATTCAGATATTATTGTCGAAATAGCATGCAAATTAAAATTGTACCTTGAGGAATTATATGATGATACCGGTATATGATGGAACCGATATATAATATGCATATGCAGAAGGAATGAACTTGTGCATAAGGGATCAGAAATATATGTCCACTTTGATGTCGACATGAAACTAAGATAATAAATCAAAAACTTATCATGGACAAGAAGTCCAATGAAATATGAATGCTAATGATCAAAAGTTTATCATGGACTAGTAGTCCAATTAGAAAATGGATTTTTGAAATCCACACTGTACAGTGTTTGCATTTTTGAGTCTTTTATTTATATGCATGTTTGAGTTTTAAATTTATGAATTACTCATTGTATGTATAGGATGTAGTTTGATGCATTACTCATTACATATATATTTTGTTTAATGTTTTATCATGAATTCTACATCTCATATTGCATGTATTAGTAATAGCTCTATACAACAACAATTGTGTTATATGTGAATGTTTGTGGTATGACGAGTTTATAATTATGATGAAAACTTACAAGAAGAAACTTATACCCCGATGGGCTTATAATTGTGATGAAATTTTATATGATGACGATCCAATAGCATGTTATGAATCATGCATGAAAAGTTCCCGCAGAACTTATATACAACGTATTCAAATATCTAGCCCTTTAAATTCTATATTCTGAAAAATGACCATGTTGATATTGTTATCAAACTCATGGAGAGTATTGGTGACTAAGTTATTGAAATATCAACCTGAAATTTAACCAAGTGAGAGTTAATCGATTCTTATATTCATTGGAAAACTCCCGTATAAAATGCAAAATGTCTAAAGAAGAATAGTAATGAGCTATATTGCAGTAAGGATAATCATCTTATGGTCCAGAAGAACCATGAGTAAAGTATATAATAATACTTATGTTATATTATTACTTATTCATATAAGCTTAGATAATGATATCAAGATATCACAAGTTGCCATAAATTATTATCAATATTTGATTATCAATAGCTACTTTTATGACCTTCAGAAGTAGGCATAATTTTGATGGTGAGACAACTTGAAACAAAAATGTCATAAAAGATAGTGGTAAATGCAACATAGGTATTGTTCTCACAAGTATGGATAAATGAAGATGTTTTACAGTCAAGATTCAATTTTAATCAGGGAGGATGAACTATCAAGGAATGTTATTCAGTTACAAGTGTAAAGTTACTAAGGCATTGGATTCACTACATTGGAAGATCTCAAGTTATGCATACATTAGGGGGAGAAAATACGCGCTGCCCTCTTTTTCCCTTAACCATGGTTTTGT